TTATAATTCTTTGATTCCTGGCATATTTCACCCTCTAGACTACAAAATCTAGGATGGGGTCATAATCCATTCACCCTTGTCTCCCCTGCACCTAGCACACTGTACTTGGCACAGAATAGGTGCTCAATAAACATGAACCCGCGCTCACCCCCTTTCTGACTCTCCGTTATTTACAGCAGATAAATCCTTGACATGTTCTAGGTGTGGCAGACCTCTGGAGGCACAGAGTATCATGATACGGTTCACTGTTGCACGAGTTGAAAGCTATCAGAAAATAATTGCAAAATCAACGTTATCTACTAAACAGAAACAGACTCACAGACATAGAGAACAGACTAGTGGTTGGGGGGTCAGGCTAGGGGAGGGAATGAATGGAAATCTGGGATTAGCAGAGACAAACTATTATATATAGGATGGATAAACAACAAGGTCCTACTGTATAGCACAGAGAACTATATTCAATATCCTGTGACAAAGCATAACGGAAAAGAATACGATAAAGAATATATGTGAATAACTGAGTCACTTTGCTGTACAGAAGAAATTAACACATTGTAAGTCAACCATACTTCAATAAAATTTTTAAAAAATAACTGCATCGTAAGAGTACCACATGAATTGCACAGTCAGTACACAAAAGGATGCATATCCCAAGGAATCTTCATGATAGCACTAAAGACTAACGTCACCCTCATGGCTCTGGGTAAACGTGGTCCACTTTCCGGACCTCTGTTCGCGATCTGCAAAATGAGCACGTTGAGAGAGGTGAGGTAAAAACCCGTGAGCCACCCCCGGTGTGAGAAATTACCGGGCCGACGGAGGGCCTGCGCGTGCGCGTGCGTAGGGAACGGGCTTTCCGGCGCGGCAGTCCCGGCGGCCCCCGGAGGAGGCGGGACGAGGCGGGTTCCCGCGGTTCCGCCGCGCCATTGGCGGGCGGTTTGAATGACGGAAGTGACGGGAGCTCGGCGATGGCCGCCACGCAGGCGCACAAACGGCCGTTGGGAGGCTGGTGTGTGGTGGCCGCCAAGACCTTCTCTGTCTGAGCCGCGGTTCCTGAGTCCGGGGTCCCGTTTCCCGGGTGAGTGACGGCCGCGCTGGCTACCCCGCGGCCGCGGGCGTGCACGACTCCCCGAGGCCGGGAACCGGGAGTGTGCTTCGGGTGAAGGGGGTGCCGCGCAAGCAGCCCGGCCCGCAGTTCTCCGGCCTCGGCGGGCCGCGGGCCCCGGCTGGGGTCGGGCAGGCGGCCGGGAGGAGCGCCGGCGCAGCGGGCACGCGCGTCCCGACCCAGACCCGCCTGCTTCGTGCGACAGACCACTCCGGGGCCTTTGGCGCGGGTGGCTTTGCGCGTCCTCCCGGGATCGGGTCTCGCGGGGTCCCTGAGTTTCCAAGTCAGGGCGGCCGGGAGGGCCTTCGCGGTCGCTACTGTGAACGCTTCTGGCTGCGTCCTGCCCACCCTGCCCCCAGGTCACCTGCGGAGTGGCCTCAATCCTGGTAGCTGTTTAACAGCACTGCCTAGAATTGTTTCATGCGGAGAGCGTACTCTTTCTCCGTGTCTCTCACCTTTAATTTCTTAGATATTAAGTCCTGCCACAAACCCGAGCTTTTACAACAGTGGGGAATTTTGAATCTTTAATATTTAGAAAATATTTGGCAGTTTATATTCGTTAAGTCACATAATCATCAGAACAACCTGTTGGACACGATATTGTGATTCCCCTGATATAGTTTAAGGAAACGAGACCAAAGGTGACTTAAGGGTCCTTCTTCTTTAAAGTGGTAGTGTTGGGCCTTGAGCCCAGATCTTCTAAGTCTGGTATATGTGATTACGATGTGCTAGCTGCCATTTAATCCTCAGGACAAAGTCTTGCAAGATAAGTAGCATCGCCTTTATTATTTGTCAGTTAGAATACATACAATTTGAAAATCCATATTGATATGAATAAATACTAAAGTGAGGGAATGGGGGAAACTCTTTCTTACAGTAGGATTCCAGTTGGTAAGTGTAGAAGGAATAATGGAAATAGAGAATACCTTTTGACAAATGCCTTAGTAATTGTTTCAGGCAGTCATCAATGGATACTAAACTCAGTTGGTAGCAGTATGGTGAGGAACATGATATTTATATAGCTTCAACTATCTCCACCAAATACTTAGAAAAGAAAAGTAGTATCTACAGTGGGTAAACCTGTTAGACACCTCCTTAATCAAGTGATCAAAATTTGCGTCATGTTAACATCATTTACCTCCTGGTGTGATGCACTGAGAAGGGTGCCTAGTGACTTCTGCAGTGGTCTTGGCAGAAATGCATAACCTTAGTCCAAACACAAGAAGGGATTAAACACATCCACATTGAGGGACAGTCTACAAAATAACTGACTGGCATCTTTTAAAAATGTCCAGATCTTGAGGGGGAAAAAAAAACAAGACTGAGGAAGGTCTCAGATTAGAGGAGTTGAAGGAGGCAAATCAACCTTGGCAGCCATTAGAACATAATTCATAGACCCTCAGCCCCGGTGTTCTGAAATGTGTTTGCATGGATGCCTTCCATGGACTGCTCCTAGTTAATGACTGAGCCTGGTGTGGATGTGAAGGCAGGCCCGTTCCTAAGACACAAGGGATTCTGGCTTAAGGACTCCCCAGAAGTCTTGCTGAACCTTCCTTAGACTGCATGGCAGTCTAAGAGGCATCTATCCAACTTTCCCTCCCTCCTTCACTCAGTGTCTGATTTTCATGGAAGTCTGAAATGCTCCCATCTTTTACCAGCTCCCTCCCCATTTTCCCTCACACAGAATTTCCTCTAATAAAATCTTTGTGGGTTTCATCCCATCTTGGCATCTTGGAGGACCCAGAGTAACATAACAGTCAAAGGATATGTTTCCCTTGACTTGGGTCCTGGTCCAGAAAATGGACCTTGGGATAATTGACGAAATTTGAATGCTGTCTGTAGATGAGTTAAAAGTATTGTGCTAGTGTTAATTTCCTGGCTTTGGTCATTGTACTACGGTTGACATTTAGAGAAGCTGGGAATTCTAAGTCAAATTATTTCCAAATAAGTTCAAAAATTAAGAAAATGATATACAAAAGAAAACAGTTATTCTATCACATGTTAGGAGGTAAAAAATAACAAGTGTATTATATTTTCCTGTAATCCTCTAGGAAGTGAAATGGATGGATACTCAAAACACTGAAAAGTTAAGTTTTTTTCTTTTTCGTTGAGGTTTAACTTAGAATTAAATACACAAACCTAAGTGTACTGTTTGAGGAATCCTTACATATGTATACACCTGTTACACTTGTGTAAAACCATCATACGGATTAAAATATGGAATATTTCTAGTACTCCAGCAGGCTCCTGTGAGCCCCCTCCTTCTCAGTAGTCTCAGAAAGATGACTGACCCCTATTTTAACCTCTTTCATCATGGATTGGTCTTCCTTGTTTTTGAATTTCATGTAAATGGAATTTTATAATGTCTCTTTTTTGCTTTTTTTCCTTTGGTACTATGTCTGTGGGACTTATCAGAAATTAGTTTTAATAGTTTGAATATGAGTGATTTTTCAGAGACCTTCAGACAAATGAATAAAGATGCATTGTGAAAGCAATTTAATCTTGCTCAATTTTTTCTTCTTTGTTTAGTTCTTACCTGTTTTTCAGTCCCCACTCGCAAAATATACTGGCTTAAACAGAATTTTCCTCACTCCATATATTTTAGCATTTCAGAAAGTTAGGAGCCATATGGAGTAAGAAAACGTGATTCTTCCCTTGGTTCTGCCAGTAGATATTGTCACTTGGGTCAAGTCCTTTAACTTAAGAGGCCTTTATTTCTTCTTGTCTAAAATAAGGAGAACAGTTGGCACTTTTCCAAAGTTTTGTGAGTACATTACCAAAGCCTTGTGAGTATCAGCTGAGTGGGATGCACTGGAAAAGATTACTCCTTTTTTGGCATCAGATTGTAACAGTGACCACATATATGTATGTAGCACTTTACATGAATTAACTCATTGAATGAGTCATTCATTCATTCAGTCAACACACTGAAGGACCTGCTTACATGCAAGGCACTGTTTTTAGGCTATGCACATAAAACCATGAATAAGATCATTCCTGCCCTCAGTGAGCTTACATTTTGGTGGAGAATTGATTGAGAAAGTATTAGTTGCTATTAGATAACCCCACCTTCTTCTGGCTGCTGTTTTTACACCTGAGTGAAAGCATTATCTATCCATAGCGTGTGAAATAATGCCTGGTAGTTGTTATTCATTGTTATTATTTTAATTTGAATATTAGAACTAAAAAAATACTAGAGCCTCAATCCTTTAATTGTTAGGAATCTAACTAGAAAGGCCAAGCTGTAATTGATGAAAAACGAGAGGAAGGTGATACCAAGATAGCATAAGGTTAGTCCCCATATGAATGTGAAGGTAATATTCGTTACAGGTGGGCAAGTCAGGAATGAGTGGTAGGTGGGTGGAACAAGAATCACTGGAGGGCAGCTTCAAGGAGAAGTGGTGCTTAAGCTTCAGAAAGGGAATTCCTTGGTGGTCCAGTGGTTAGGACTCTGCACTTCCATTGCAGGGGGGCCCAGGTTCGATCCCTGGTCGGGTAACTAAGATCCCACATGCTGCGGTGCAATAAGCTCACGTGCTGCAATTACTGAGCCTGCGTGCCACAACTACAGAGCCCTTGCACGACACCTGCTGAGCCCTCACTCTCTGGAGCCTGTGCACTACAACTAGAGATAAGCCCGCATGGCACAACAAAGAGCACTGACACTGCAACGGAATATCCCATGTGCTGCAACTAAGACCTGATGCAGCCGACAAATTGCTATTTGTAAATAAGTTGGACTTAGTTTACCCAAATTATTTTATTTGGAAGTACACAGCCCTTTAAATGGTAAAAAATATTAATATGAATTTTTAAAATTATTCTAATCTTTGCTGCTCTACTTTAATAGATATATATTTTTAAAAAATCAGAACCTTCATATTTAAAGTACTACATGAAAATGAAGAGAAAGGTGGTGAATGCCGCCGGCAAGCTGAGATTGAGTCCTAATGAGGAAGCCTTCATTTTAAAAGAAGATTATGAAAGAAGACGAAAACTAAGATTGCTACAGGTAAGATTTATTTGGAACATAGTGTCAAATTCTTTGTCTTCCCCAAATTATCAGTATTTTTTACATTAGTGTTTTAAATAAAATGTCACATTTAACAGTCTTTTCTGGCTGTACAAGAGCCCTGGTTCTTGCATATTAACTAGTTTTGGAACATTTGAAAAGTATGATGAAACAGTAAATAAATTGAAGAAGAGTTTGAGGATAAGGACTGACTCAGTAATTATTAGGAAATAATTCATTTTTTGAGATTATTAAATATTTAGCAATATTTTTCTTTTTTCTTTATATATGTGTATATGTGTGTGTATATATATGTGTGTGTGTGTGTGTGTATATATATATATATATATATAATGTATATATGCAATACTTAATTTCCCAAGATCTTCCCCCAATAAATTTGCAGAATACATCATCTGACATAAAGGCAAAAAAAAAACCCAAACAAAAAAACCTATGAATCAATACAAAAACATAGGCCAACATCCCAACCCCATTGCTGAAAATAGTTCATTTTAAAAATTATATGTAACTGATGAAGATTCAAGCAAGAATATTAGAATGACTTTGAAGAAGATTTACTGGAAAGATAATTAGCTACTGAAATAAATTTATTCAGAAGTTGTCTATTCTTCGTCTCTAGAAGTCTTTTTAGAGTTACGTAGTTAAGTCTTTGTGAAACATTTTAGGTGCCATTCTGTCTAGAATTGAGGATGATGTATCACAGATACGGACTTCTCATCTAGATCTTTCTGTACTTGTCTGGGCTATAAATTTTATTGAATCATGCTTACCAATTTAGCCTCTTGTATGTTATTAGAATGATAATGGCAGTCCGATTAGATCTCTGGGGAGGGAACATAATTGCTAATCATGGAACTTTAGAAGTAGTCTTGAGATTTTAATTTTTCCTCCATCACTTGGATTTTCTGCTTTAAATAGGCCTTATCTAATATAATGTGAATATTCAGGAGAATTGATGTAGCTAATACCTAAAGATAATTCATTTAAGTTCCTGTTTCCAAATAGCTTTTCAAAAAAGTTGAAGGAAGCCTCTTTTCATAAAATGTGTTAAATACTCATCCTTCAGGTTCGAGAACAAGAAAGAGATATCGCTTTACAAATAAGAGAAGATATAAAACAGAGGAGAAATCAGCAACTCACTCGTTTGGCAGAAGAACTAAGGACAGAATGGGAGGAATCACAAACTCAGAAAATAAAGAACTTGGAAAAACTGTATTTGGCAAGTTTAAGAAATATGGGAGACGGGCATCAACAAGCCAAAGAAAATGTAAGTGAGCACTTATTTGACTACCTTCCTGTGGTAGTGATACTTGTTAAAAGCAGATTACAGTTGTTAGACACTTATAAAAGTGTTTTCATGTATAGAATTTGCTGTGGGCAGCCTGAACTTTTTTGTAAATTTAATATAATTTAAGAATTCTGCTAGGTTCATTTCCTAGTAAGAGTCATGTCAAGAATAATCTATTTCCAATGATGTTTAAGTTAACATTATTCTCTAATAAATTTATGGTTAACAAAGAGGGAAGGTGGGGGGAGTAAATTAGGAAGTTGGGATTAATATATACACAGTACTATATATAAAATAGATAACCAGCAATGACCTAGTGGATGGCACAGGAAACTATACTCAATATTTTGTAATAACCTATAAAGGAAAAGAATCTGAACAAGAATATATATATATGTATATAACTGAATCACTGTACTGTATACCTGAAACTAACACAACATTGTAAATCAACTATACTTCAATTAAAAAAAACATACATTATTCTCTTCCAGTCCTTAACTGTCTGTGTAAATAAAATAATAACCTTCAGAATTAGAAGTTGTTATTCATTTCAGGGATTTTGGACCAATTCAGTGGAGTGAATTCAGATTTCTGGTTTCATTTTCATTATCATTCATTATTCCTCATACCTCCAAAACGGGTAGTGGAGTGTGTATACACTTTAGTTCATTCACAGACAGTAAAAATTCTTTGATGACTTTCACAAAGGCAAAGTAGAACTTAACTCAGTATTTAAGACTGCTCCCTGACCTTATTTTGTTGTTTATTGTGCTTTGTGGTTGGAAAATGCTAGATGGTGGTCCCAGAGGTAGTCACACAAAATAAACAAGCTGGGTTCCAAAGAAGGCACGACTTTGTTACCAAACTTTTAGGGAATAAGAGAACTCTTTAAAGAATGTGGCAATCAAAATATTCTCGGTCCCTGGTTTTAGTTTGTGTTTTTTAGTAATAGCCATAAGTTCTGACATCAGATTTTTGTAGCTTTATTTATGCCATCATTAATTTTGTGCTTTAGTGCAGTGTTTCATTTGAATACACCGTTATGATTTTTGCCCTTACTGGGTACCACCCATATTATCATATATTTGACATTTTAATCCTGTTTAACATGACATTTTAAGTAATATTTGTTTTTAGGAGCCTGATTTAAATGCTCTGGCACACCGGGCAGCAGAAAGAAAAAAAAAAGCAGAAATGAGGCATAAAGAGGCCCTGAAAGTACAGAAAAATCAAAAAGAAATGTTAATGAAACAAAAAACCTGGTAAAGTAATAGTGATTTTTACCATATTCTCCACGGAAACTGATGTGGCTGGAAGTAAAGGGTACACTGGATACTTTTTAAAAATCAGTATATCCATTGTGTTTGTTAAACTTGGTTTAAAATAATGCAGTGGGGGAGTGGTTGCTTAGATGAACATACTAATAAATGAGCTTTCTCTTCTAGTCTGACTATAGTGGCAATTACTAAGTTTCTGGAGAAATGTATTACTGGTTTAGAATGCAAGTCAACCAAAATCTGTCTGCCTCCGATATAAAAAGAAAAAAATCAGTGCACGTATGAACATTAAAAGAGGTTGTAGACTCTGCAAGTCATTGATGAGATTTTTGCATGTTGTAAAAATGAAAGAGCGTGTTACTAATCAGCAGTGGTCATTTTATATGGTGGCCCATCTTTATCGATAATTTCTAGTTTTTTTACTCTGAATTATTCTCAACTAAAGAACATTAGGTGTTTGTTGGGTCACTTCCCATTGTGGAGCTTTATATCTTTAGATATACCTCTTTCACTTGGTAAACATCTTTTTACCTGTTCACTGTGTATAGACTCTTTATTAAACAGCATATTGAGCCTGTGGGATCAGACTGGAGGATTTCTTGAGATTGTAATGGCTTTTATATTCTTAACCCTAAGAGTTGTACTGTAATATTATCTGAAAGATTAATTTACGACATCTTGTGTTTTTTAAGGCATATAAAAGCTCGAAAAGAAGCACTGCTTGCGGAAAAAGAGAGATCTGCCAAAATTACAAGTCTGCCACCTCCTCCTCCAACTCTTTTTGAGGTGAATTACTTTGAGTATGTGAGCTAGGTTATAATAATTCTTCTTTACTATTAGAATTCAGTGTAGGTCAAAATACCACTTGTATTAATTTTTAACTGTACAGGTAACACATTTCTGGAATATTTAAAAATAATCCTAGATATCATTTTACCTATGAATACTTTAGTATGTATCTCTGATGTTTAAGGACTTTTTTAAAAGCACAATACTAATATAATATTGTTCTCAATATAATCTAATACCCAGTCTGTGTTCAGTTTTCCCCAGTTGTCTCAAAAATTTCTTTTGTTGTTTGAAAAACTGTAATGTTTTTTATTTTATTGGGAAAGAAAAGGATTATTTGCCCTAAAGACTTTCCTACATTCAAGATTTGACTATTGTAAATAGTTACCATTTTACAGATAAGGAAATTAGGTTCAGATAAATTAATAAATTTACACAAGATTATGTAAAGTGATAAGAGGCGTGTTTCTTTATGGGAGTAAAATGTTTGATTTTGTGATTTGGAGGCTGTTTTTTTAAAAAAACATTTAACTTTTTAAGTAGAAATTAATTTTGAAAGGTCTTGCCTCTCATTCAGATTATCTTGTTATGGTTATTAAAATGGCTGGTTTGGATGATTATCAAAATTACATAGTTATTTTTATCAAAAAAGTTAAGTAGAAGTAAAAAAAAATACACATACAGGGATATCTAATTTAGTTGTATAGACAAGTGTATTTTATGTATGTATGATCAGCCTAAGTACCAGATATTCTTGTCTTAAGCCTCTGGTTTCGTCAGCCTTCCTGCTTTTATGTTGAGCCATCTGCCATGTGACATTTGATCCAACAAGATCCAAATGGAAAAGGCAAATTTTAGTCACTCCCTCAGTACCTTGTTAAAAGACAGGCAGTATTTTATCCATGTTTTTTTGATTACTTTTGTCATAATTCCTAATGTTCCTAGCAAGCCAAGGTCAAAATTTTAAAGCAAGCAAAACATTGTCTGTGTGAGTGATTTGGCAAATATGCATTATATGTAAAAGTGTGGTTGTACTTTTTTCCCCCAACTTTTTATTATGAAAATTTTCAAAATACAGAGAAGTTAAAAGGAGAGTACAAAGGAACAGCTCTTTGCATTGTGTGTAGATTTCAAATGGTTGTGTATACATTTGAATGAATAAATATATACATTTGAATATAGATTGTAGAGATTGCATTTCACCCTGTATACTTCAGCATGCCTCTGCTAGAATAAGGACATTCTCTTATGCAACCACAATATCACACTAAGAAAATGTACCAGGATCCAGTCAAGGTTTACCTGTTGCTTCTGCTTGCTTTGTCTCTTGGTCTCTCTCAATGTGAAACATTATGTCCCCCAACCCTAGCCAACATTTTATTTCAGAATTTTTGAATAGACTAGACTAGTTTCTTATATTCTGTATTTGTCTGATGTGGTTATGTGACTACAAGAGATCTCCATTATAAAGGTATATTTTTCTCTTTTCAATTGCCAAGTAATCTGGGAAATGATACTTTGGCACCAAATAGGTATCTATCACCCTTCTACATTTATTCATTGGCCTACTTCTGTTAGACAAAAGAAGAGAGAACTTTCTCTTATCAGTGATTATGAACTACCATAACCAACTGATCAAACTTAGAATCATTAATAGCAGAGCACCTTGCCATTATGTGCCTCCTAATATCATGTAGTAAACTATACAGCATCACCTATTCAGTATTCTTGTTGAAATATAATCTGGGGCTTCCCTGGTGGTGCAGTGGTTAAGCATCCGCCTGCCAATGTAGGAGACACAGGTTCAAGCCCTGGTCCGGGAAGATCCCACATGCCACGGAGCAACTAAGCCCGTGCACCACAACTACTGAGGTTGCACTCTAGAGCCCGCGAGCCACAGCTACTGAGCCCATGTGCCACAACTACTGAAGCCCATGTGCCTAGAGCCCATGCTCCCAATAAGAGAAGCCACCACGATGAGAAACCTGCGCACTGCAACGAAGACTAGCCCCTGCTTGCCGCAATTAGAGAAAGCCCGCACGCAGCAGCAAAGACCCAGTACAGCCAAAAATAAAAATAAATAAAATAAATTTATTTAAAAAAATAAAAAATATAATCTGGCTTTTAAACCTAACTTCCAGCTTAATGGAAATACAGTGCATGATCTCATGAAAAAAAAGAATAACTGATTAAAATACAAAATTAATTTTTCATTGGATCCTGCTTTAAATGAAAATTAATACTTTTAACCTAACAGTCTATTTTCTGTTTCATTTTTCAGAACATTGACTTAAAGAAAACTTCTAATGTGAAAACCAATAGTTCTACCTACCATCATCTTTATACTTTTGTTAATAGAGAGGTGGACACAAAGCAGGTGATTGTTTTTTCATGACCCTCACTTTATTATTTCTCTGTTCATTGAATTGAGTTACATCTTTGTTCTACGTTTATTGTTCTCAGATATCAAAATTTGAAAAACTCTACCAACCATATTAGGGTAATAGTGATAAAAAAACTTTTAAATATGCTTTGAATTATGATGTCATGTTTATTATGAATGGTGATTTAACATGAAAGAAGGGAGTTGGCTACTTAAACAGTTATATTTCAAAATATGTTTTTTACCATAAAACTTTTTTTGACATAAAAATAATACGTGCTCTGTGAAAATTTGAAACTATACACATAGGCACAAACTAGGAAAAACACCCATGATTCCATCACCAAAAAGTAATGCAGTTAATACATTAATGGATTTATTATAGTGTTTATGTATAAACATATATACATACTTTTCAAAACATGATTTTTAATAGCTACTTAATATTTCATTATAGAATTTATTTAACCATTCTATTGTGTTTTTTTTTTGCTTCATAAATGCAAACATAATCATCTTGCACATTTTGTCTACAGCTCTGATTGTATGTTTAGAATAGATTCCTAGAGAGAAATTATAGGTTCCAAACTATATAACATTTGATAACAGATATTTAATACAGATCATTAAATTGCCTTTTAAATAGCATCAGCAACATATGAAAATGGCCATTTTATCATACCCTTGTCTGTATGAAATGTTGTGGTTTAAAAATTATTGTCAGTCTTCAGAGTGACAAATGATTATCACTCCTTATTATAATTGCTATTTCTTTGTAACAGTGGGTTTTCATTTTTTTTGTATTAGATATATCAGTCTACTAGGAAAATAAACTTTCATAGTATAGCATTCATGTGGACGTTAGAATTCAACAAATTCCGTAATAGCAGGTCAGTATTCAGTCAAGACATGAGATGAGTATTATCATAGAATTAACTTCTTTTTTTTGAATTCTTGAATTTTATTTGTTTTTATACAGCAGGTTCTTATTAGTTATCCATTTTATACGTGTTAGCATATATATGTCAATCCCAATCTCCCAGTTCATCCCACCACCCCCACCCGCCCGCCACTTTACCCCTGTGGTGTCCATACGTTTGTTCTCTACATCTGGGTCTCAATTTCTGCCCTGCAAACCAGTTCATCTGTACCATTTATCTAGGTTCCACATATATGCGTTAATATATGATATTTGATTTTCTCTTTCTGACTTACTTCACTCTGTATGACAGTCTCTAGATCCATCCACGTCTCTACAGATGACCCAGTTTCGTTCCTTTTTATGGCTGAGTAATATTTCATTACATATATGTACCACATCTTCTTTATCCATTCGTCTGTTGATGGGCATTTAGGTTGCTTCCATGATCTGGCTATTGTAAATAGTGCTGCAGTGAACATTGGGGTGCATGTGTCTTTTTGAATTATGGTTTTCTCAGGGTATATGCCCAGTAGTGGGATTGCTGGGTCATATGGTAATTATATTTTTAGTTTTTTAAGGAACCTCCATACTGTTCTCCATAGTGGCTGTATCAATTTACATTCCCACCAACAGTGCAAGAGGGTTCCCTTTTCTCCACACCCTCTCCAACATTTGTTGTTTGTAGATTTTCGGTTGATAGCCATTCTGACTGGTGTGAGGTAATACCTCATTGTAGTTTTGATTTGCATTTCTCTAATAATTAGTGATGTTGAGCAGCTCTTCATCTGCTTCTTGGTCATCTGTATGTCTTTGGAAAAATGTCTATTTAGGTCTTCTGCACAATTTCGGATTGGGTTCTTTGTTTTTTTAATATTGAGCTGTATGAGCTGTTTATATATTTTGGAGATTAATCCTTTGTCCATTGATTCATTTGCAAATAATATCTCCCATTCTGAGGGTTATTTTTTCTTCGTCTTTGTTTTCCTTTGCTGTGCAAAAGCTTTTAAGTTCCTTAGGGCCTATTTCTTTATTTTTGTTTTTATTTCCATTATTCTAGGAGGTGTATCAGAAAAGATCTTGCTGTGATTTATGTCAAAGAGTGTTCTTCCTATGTTTTCCTCTAAGAGTTTTATAGTGTCCAGTCTTATATTTAGGTCTCTCATCCATTTTGAGCTAATTTTTGCATATGGTGTTAGGGAGTGTTCTAATTTCATTCTTTTACATGTAGTTGTCCAGTTTTCCCAGCACCACTTATTGAAGAGACTGTCTTTTCTCCATTGTATATCCTTGCCTCCTTTGTCATAGATTAGGTGACCATAGTTGGCGTGAGTTTATCGCTGGGCTTTGTATCCTGTTCCATTGATCTATATCTCTGTTTTTGTGCCAGTACCATATTGTCTTGATTGTGGTAGCTTTATAGTATTGTCTGAAGTCAGGGAGTCTGATTTCTCCAGCTCTGTTTTTTTTCCTCAAGACCGCTTTGGCTATTTGGGATCTTTTGTGTCTCCATACAAATTTTAAGATTTTTTGTTCTAGTTCTGTAAAAAATGCCATTGGTAATTTGATAGGGATTGCATTGAATCTGTAGATTGCTTTGGGTAGTATAGTCATTTTCACAATATTGATTCTTCCAATCCAGGAACATGGTATGTCTCTCCATCTGTTTGTATCATCTTTAATTTCTTTCTTCAGTGTCTTACAGTTTTCTGCATACAGGTCTTTTGTCTCCCTAGGTAGGTTTATTCCTAGGTATTTTATTCTTTTTGTTGCAGTGGTAAATGGGAGTGTTTCCTTAATTTCTCTTCCAGAGTTTTCATCATTAGTATATAGGAATGCAAGAAATTTCTGTGTATTAATTTTGTGTCCTGCAACTTTACCAAATTCATTGATTAGCTCTAGTAGTTTTCTGGTGGCATCTTTAGGATTTTCTATGTATAGTGTCATGTCATCTGCAAACAGTGACAATTTTACTTCTTTTCCAATTTGTATTCCTTTTATTTCTTTTTCTCTGATTGCCATGGCTAGGACTTCCAAAACTATGTTGAATAACAGTGGCAAGAGTGGACATCCTTGTCTTGTTCCTGATCTTAGAGGAAATGCTTTCAGTTTTTCACCATTGAGAATGATGTTTGCTGTGGGTTTGTCATATATGGCCTTTGTTATGTTGAGGTAGGTTCCCTCTATGCCCACTTTCTGGAGAGTTTTTATCATAAGTGGTGTTGAATTTTGTCAAATGCTTTTTCTGCATCTGTTGAGATGATCATATGGTTTTCATCCTTCAGTTTGTTAATTTGGTGTATCACATTGATTAATTTGCATATATTGAAGAATCCTTGCATCCCTGGGATAAATCTCACTTAATCATGGTGTATGATCCTTTTAATGTGTTGTTGGATTCTGTTTGCTACTGTTTTGTTGAGGGTTTTTGCATCTATATTCGTGAGTGATATTGGTCTGTAATTTTCTTTTCTTGTAGTATCTTTGTCCGGTTTTGGTATCAGGGTGATGGTGGCCTCATAGAATGAGTTTGGGAGTGTCCCTTCCTCTGCAAGTTTTTGGAAGAGTTTGAGAAAGATGGGTGTTAGCTGTTCTCTAAATGTTTGATAGAATTCACCTGTGAAGCCATCTAATCCTGGACTTTTGCTTGTTGGAAGATTTTTAATCACAGTTTCAACTTCATTACTTGTGATTGGTCTGTTCATATTTTCTGTTTCTTCCTGGTTCAGTGTTGGAAGGTTATACCTTTCTAAGAATTTGTCCATTTCTTCCTGGTTGTCCATTATATTGGCATAGAGTTGCTTGTAGTAGTCTCTTAGTATGCTTTGTATTTCTGCAGTGTCTGTTGTAAATTCTCCTTTTTCATTTCTCATTTTATTGATTTGAGTCCTGTCCTTTTTCTTAATGAGTCTGGCTAATAGTTTATCAAATTTGTTTATCCTCTCAAAGAACCAGATTTCAGTTTTATTGATCTTTGCTACAGTTTTCTTTGTTTCTTTTTCATTTATTTCTGCTCTGATCTTTATGATTTCATTCCTTCTACTAACTTTGGGTTTTGTTTGTTCTTCATTCTCTAGTTCCTTTAGGTGTAAGGTTAGATTGTTTATTTGAGATGTTTGTTGTTTCTTGAGGTAGGCTTGTACTGCTATAAACTTCCCTCTTAGAACTGCTTTTGCTGCCTCCCATAGGTTTTGGATCGTCGTGTTTTCATTGTCATTTGTCTCTAGGTATTTTTTGATTTCCTCTTTGATTTCTTCAGTGATCTCTTGCTTATTTAGTAATGCATTGTTTAGCCTCCATGTGTTTGTGTTTTTTAAGTTTTTTTCCCTGTAATTGATTTCTAATCTCATAGCGTTGTAGTCAGAAAAGATGCTTGATATGATTTTAATTTTCTTAAATATACTGAGGCTTGATTTGTGACCCAAAATGTGATCTGTCCTGGAGAATGTTCCATGTGCACTTGAGAAGAAAGTGTAATCTGCTGTTTTTGGATGGAATGTCCTATAGACAATCAATTAAATCTGTCTGGTCTATTGTGTCATTTAAAGCTTGTGTTTCCTTATTAATTTTCTGTTTGGATGATCTGTCCATTGGTGTAACTGAGGTGTTAAAGTCCCCCCCCACTCTTACAGTGTTACTGTCGATTTCCTCTTTTATAGTTAGCATTTGCCGTATGTATTGAGGTGCTCCTATATTGGGTGCATATATATTTATAATTGTTATATCTTCTTCTTACATTGATCCCTTTATCATTATGTAGTGTCCTTCCTTTTCTCTTATAACATGCTCTATTTTAAAGTCTATTTTATGTGATATGAGTATTGCTACCCCAGCTTTCTTTTGATTTCCATTTGCATGGAATATCTTTTTCCATCCCCTCACTTTCAGTCTGTATGTGTCCCTAGGTTTGAAGTGGGTTTCTTGTAGACAGCATATATATGGGTCTGGTTTTTGTATTCATTCAGCGAGCCTGTGTTTTTTGGTTGGAGCATTTAATCCATTCACATTTAAGGTAATTATCGATATGTATGTTCCTCTTACCATTTTTTTAAATTCTTTTGGGGTTTTGTGTGTAGGTCCTTTTCTTCTCTTGTGTTTCCCACTTAGAGAAGTTTCTTTAGCATTTGTTGTAAAGCTAGTTTGGTGGTGCTGAATTCTCTTAGCTTTTGCTTGTCTGTAAAGCTTTTGATTTCTCCATCAAATCTGAATGCGATCCTTGCCGGGTAGAGTAATCTTGGTTGTAGATTCTTCCTTTTCATCCCTTTAAATATGTCATGCCACTCCCTTCTGCTTTGTAGAGTTTCTGCTGAGAAATCAGCTGTTAACCTTATGGGAGTTCGCTTGTATGTTATTTGTTATTTTTCACTTGTTCCTTTCAATAAGTTTTCTTTGTCTTTAATTTTTGCCAGTTTGATTACTATGTGTCATGGTGTGTTTCTCCTTGGGTTTATCCTGTATGGGACTGTCTGCACTTCCTGGACTTGGGTGGCTATTTCCTTTCCCATGTTAGGGACGTTTTTGAAAAAAATCTCTTAAAATATTTTCTTGGGTCCTGTCTCTCTCTCTCTTGTTCTTCTGGGACCCCTGTAATGCGAATGTTGTTGCGTTTAATGTTGTCCCAGAGGTCTCTTAGGCCGTCTCCATTTCTTTTTATTCTTTTTTCTTTTTTCTGTTCCACAGCAGTGAATTCCACCATTCTGTCTTCCAGATCACTTATCTGTTCTTCTGCCTCAGTTATTGTGCAATTTTTCCTTCTAGTGTATTTTTCATTTCATTATTGTATTGTTTATCTCTGTTTGTTTGTTCTTTAATTCTTCTAGGTCTTTGTTAAATGTTTCTTGCATCTTCTCGATCTTTGCCTCCATTCTTTTTTCGAGGTCCTGGATCATCTTCACTATCATTATACTGAGTTGTTTTTCTGGAAGGTTGTGTATCTCCACTTCATTTAGTTGTTTTTCTGGGGTTTTATCTTGTTCCTTCATGTGGTACATAGCCCTCTGCCTTTTCATCTTGTCTGTCTTTCTGTGCATGTCATCATAGAATAAACTTCTAGGAAATAAGAGAAAATCTTGAAACTTGTTTAAAATATTATTACAAGGTCAGTATTTTATAATACAGAAATAATAACTTCCATCTGTTGCTAACTTGCTTTTGTCCTATATGTTTGTCCACTTCACTAAAACATTGTTTTTACATATTTTTTACAGTATTAAATAGATGTTTAATACTAAGATTGATGAAGAAAGACATTTTTCTTCTAGCTCTAATATAGGGTGCCGCTGATGGTATCACAGTAGGTCATTAAACTTTTCTGTTTGACAGTAACTAAAAGACGTACCTTCTCTTCAATTTCTGGACTTGAAGATTATATCAGTAGTTACAATGCAGTTTTATAAAAACAGTCACACAAGCTAAAGTATTTTGGTATTTTCTTTTATTTGCTTCCTCACACCATCACTTAGGAAAAATATATCCTTAAACCTTGGGTTTAAAATGGGACAGTGGAGCAATGTGCTTGGTTTTCCATATAACAAATCTCTGCATTTTCATCTGCATCTAAGCTTATTTCACATGCACAATAATTTAGAGTCTTTCTTGGAGTAGAATAATAGGATTTTTACAGCAGGTATTATATAAAAAATACTTGCACTCTTGGCATACATTTTAGTTATTCCTTCAGCTGCTTTCTCCAAATAAGCTAGTTTCTTTTTGTTCAGTCAGCCTTTTAGCATGTAAGAGTTGCTATCAGTTTTTGTTTGAATATCTTGATAAAGTGGTTCTAAAATTCCTTGTATGTTATAAAATTTGTCTTTGAAGAAGAGTGATGAATTTGACCTGCTCTATTCCTACGTAGAGCCAGTTATTCTCCAAATTTTGTTTTATGCTACATTTACATTCTATACACACAGTTAAACAAAACTTCGTATGCTTGAAATTTCTGAATTACTCGTGCCCCTCCTGTTTGTTCCTTTGTCAGCAACAGTTAACACAACACTTGTTAAAATGGATTTTTCACCCTAGAAATATTTTTCCAGTCAGATCCATTGTATTATTTGTTGTGAGGCCCGGAAATGTCAGCAGACAAGCAGAAACACTTAAATTCAATTTACCATCATACTTAAGATAAGTCTGATGTAAAAGGTGCAGAAGTAGCATATTTAGTAATCACTTGTTGTTTTGTGCACTGCAGATTACAGTTCATGGAAAAGATTTTCAGAAACATGTTTTCTAGAAAGAATTTTTTGCTTGGGATTCACGGTTTTTGCAAATTTCACATATCTTTTGAGTTCAACTGCTAAAAATGGAATCTATTATTTCAACCAGATTTTTGTTTAAAGTTTTAATTGTATTGACACAAATTTTTAAGGGATTGTCTTTCTAAAACATTCTTGTAAAATCTTGTTTTGACATTGGGCAGTCAGATTAAAACTTGTTTGGGGTACCTCATTTTTCTCTAACCCTTTATTGATATTCTTTATGTACCTCATTATATCTGGACTGAACATGTTTATTATACACATTGTATGTTTTGAAGTTTTTCCTTCCTTTTAAATTTTGGTTTACCAAAATTGACATTCTGCTTTTAATTCACCCCCACATGATGTGAAGAATTCCCAAATAACTTTTTTTTGAAAACCTCATGGCCTAAATGAAATAAAATGTTGCTCCTAAAGATTATTTTATTTAATGTTATGCGTTAATGCAATCTGACCTGTGTTTATTTAGATTTGCGTAAATATTTATTAGCTCCAAAGGTATTTAATATTTTTCATACACTTGTTTGGCCAATGCACTCTTTTTTTTTTGGCCGCACCAAGCGGCATGTGGGGATCTTAGTTCTCCACTTACACCCCCTGCAGTGGAAATGTGGAGTCTTAACCACTGGACCACCAGGGAAATTCCTACTCTTTCTGAGTACGTTAACTGTCTCTACCTATTTATCTCACTGTTTGAGAGTTATAAATAATTTTAGATATATAGTTAACAGCTTTCATGGTCATTATTGTTTCACTTGACTAATTGTCAACATATAAAATATATAAGATTTTTTACAAAGTGAATGTTTATGTGTAATACACGTTGTGTCTCCTCCCACATTTGATATTATTGTTACATCAATGAGATGATGGCTTACTGTGCAACCACATAATCATTGATTATGCACAAGTTCTAGGAAGCCAGAAATTATATTAAAGTAGGTGTTTTGGTGATTTGGCTTTCCTGAGGCTGAAGCCAAGCTGTATATTTTGGCTAAAAACCAAAGACAAATCTTAGTGCTTCCCCAAATGGCTTACATGACCTTCAGTGTTTGTGGTTTCTTAACTACTAGCTTTGCAGGTGTTTACCTTTCAACACTGTTGTTTTAATAGAATTTCTTAAAAAAATGGTGGAAGAATGTATTTCGATAAGTATAGTTTACTCTGCTTTAAAATGAAGAACTTGTAAAACTTTACACTAACAATTTGACTTTTTTCATAGGTACATGCTGTTGATAATTGTGGGCATTTAAAACTATAACTTGTCATCATTTAATTCGATATAAGTAGAAAAACATGACTTTAAGGTTGTTTTGTTTTTTAGTTATCACTTTGTTTCACACTTTATTTAATTATCTAAAATGTTACTCATTGACTGCTAGCCAGATCCTCATTTGGCTGCTAAAGAAGAGGCTAAAAGATTGGAAGAACTACAGAAACAAGCAGCAGAAGAGAGAATAGAGCAGTGTGAGAAGGCACATGCACGGGGTTTCCAAGCAATGAAAAAGATCCATTTGGCTCAAGTAAGAATTAAATTCTGGCTGTGACCACTACTGATGGCCTTAGCGATGGCACTGTAAAATTTAACTGATAGTGAAAAGGCTCAGAGGACAGAGTTGTGAAGAATGGGAAAATATTCTCTCTGTTTCGTGTCATTTCAAGCTTCCCAACTTGCTTTTACCTCCTGTTTCAAATTCAGGGTTGGGTGAAGCTGTTCTCATTTCTCTTCTAAAATTTTTACTGATGAATGTATTAAAAGTTTAATATTTTAATCAGTCTAAAAATAGCCCAAGAAGAAATTAATCACTTTTCTAATTTAATTATTTGAATTCCATTTGTGCTCTGCAAATTTTAAGATTCGATTCGTTAAATATTTATTGAGCAAAGCACTTGTTAGCTTTGCAGAATATTGATTCAAAGGTAGAGTCATGATCCTTGCTGTCAAGGAGCTTTGACTTTGTTGCAGAGCTGTAAAATATGTATCGTGCAAACTGGCTTTGTAGTCACAGCTTTACATCTGTCTTGCTTATTCAGTGTTTATTCTTGAAACAGCATAAAAATGATTCATCTTCTTAGAAGTCTGAATTTGACTAATGCATTTAGATGTTTTAAACATTCATCTGAAGAATGAGTTTTTAAGTACTTCTCTGGGAATTAAATGCCTTAAAATTCTTTTGTATGATTTGAACTGAATTATGACCTTCTCCCTTAAATTTTTAGTTCTTATAAACTAAGGGTAAGTTATGATTATCATAACTTACCCCTAGTTTATAAAAACTAAAAGATGAAAATTATGGGTAGTAATTCAGACATTCAGTTACTTACTGAATGTAAAATAACTGAATGTCTGAATTATTACCCATAATTTTCATCTAAAATTTAAACCTATAGGAAAAAAAAAAACATGAATAAAGCAGTTGGTAAACAGAGCACATTCTTCCATAAATCAGAAGTGTTTAGTGGTTAAGAAAGTGGACTCCGTGGTCAGTCTTCCTGGATTTTCCTCCCTTCTTCACTGCTTAGCTGTTTGATCACAGGCAGGTTACCTAACCTCTCCGAGTTCTGTTTCATCACGTGTTTTATGAGGGTTAAATGAGTTTAGTAAAGCCCTTAGAATTGTGCGTAGAATTTCATAAGCTCACAGTGTCAGTGGTCATAGTAGTTGTTATAAATAATTCAAGTAGAGTACTATGCCACACTTTCAGTGAGCCAGAAATAGTATGCTTATTCAAATAACTTTGAAGTTAATTTAATGGTATGGTTTGAATCTTAATATAAAAAAATGAATTTGTTCATAATTTGATTCTTTTCAAGGTCGGGCAAAAAAAACTCATCTCCAAATGACAAAATATTTACAAACAAGTAGTCTGTAATCACTTAACAAAAACGTTGTTATACAGGCTCTCTACCTTTTTCTAGACTGTATCTCTTACACAAGAATGGTCTGCAATACATACAGAGGATCTCCTTTCCCCTTTTTGAACCTTTTTGCTGCAGACCTTATCGTGTGCCCTGGGATCTTCCTGCTATAGTGTGTTTGGCCTCTACGTGCCTCTCCAACTTTATCTTTTGTCCTTAACCATCCCTGCCCTCCATACCCTATCTATAATGAACATTGTACTCTCCCTGACTGCCCATGCCTTCATCTGCATAATTCCATGCTGGAGTTATTTCTTACTTGTACTCCTCCTTCACCCACTTATATCTGGCTCAATCCTCATCCCGGGGCTGAGAGGTTTTCCCTTATCCCCCACTCCTTATCCTCCACCACCAAAATTAACTTAGATGACTTCACTAAAACATTGTACTTAAACTTTCATATTTGCCAGACTCTTTAAACTTAAAAGAGATATGTACAAATCCCCTTTAATCTTAAGGACTCATAAGAGCGTGGAGTAACAAGAAATATCTGTTAAGCCACAGTTACCCTGGCTGGGTCTTGGTGCTCACCTGAGACTGGCTGCTGCTGCTGGCTCTGTGGAGAGCTGAAACAAAGTACACTGCAGGAGTGGTGGCAGCTTAGTTAGAATGTAGCTTCGTGACTGTCCTGAGGAAGAAGACCTGTGCCTGGCAGACACTTTGAAGCCCTGTGGCCTAACCAGAGCCGTCTTCTCATAGTACTTACTAACATCATACGGTTGACCCTGGCCCTGTATGGGTCCACTTATACCCACATATTTTTCCATAGTAAATGCTGTGGTATCGCATGGTCAGTGGTTGGTTGAATCTGTGGATGTGGAGGAACCGCGGGTATGGAGGGCCGACTCTTAATTAGTGTCTTTGTGTTTGAATAAATGGTAGAGGTGGGGAGGGTACTAAAGTCCCTGTCTTCATGATTTCTCCACTTTTCCCTCACTATTCACGTTACTATCCACTGTCCAAAGTGTGTTACTCAGTTTTTAATTAATTCTCTTTATTCTTGAAGAATCAGGAGAAACTAATGAAAGAACTCAAACAGCTACAACAAGAGGACCTGGCACGCAGGAGACAGATGGTAGCACGGATGCCACCACAACTAGTTGAACTTCCATACAAACGCAGTGAAATGAAAGATGATTGGCAGAGACAGCTAGAATTTGCCTTTGAAGACATGTACAATGCAGACAGGAGTAAGATATTTTCAGTAAACTTTCAACAATGCTTTGAAACGTTTTGGTGGGAAAATACATTTGTCTTGAAGCAGTTTTTATTTTGAAATGAGTTCTCAGTTTGAAAGAGGCTCTCATATTTTAGACTTTAAACTATGGTGGTCTTTAAAATTTTATGCTCAAATTCTTAAGTCATTTTGGAATGGAAACATGTCTCTGTATTTCTTTATTGAGAGGTGAAAGGAAACCTGATTTTGCACCTTGAACCAGAGCCTCTGCCCACTGTGACTGATCAGATCCAAGATGAAGAACTGGACCTTTCAATGGAACAAGAAATTACAGGGGAGACTGAAAACATTCCAGTGACAGAAGCTGAAACAATATGTTCTAGTGAAGCAGATGGTAAAAACTTCTGAGCTGAATATTGCAGTATTTCATAGGGAAAAAATGCTAATCATTTGCCATCAGTTAGGAAAGTCTGGTCTGTTTTAAGTGCAAACAGTAACTAATACTCATTGGAGTGATGGGAGGAGGAAACTTCAGATTTCCATCACTAAAGATCCTTTTCATATACATAGGAGAAATGTTATTTTATTTATATGTACATATAGTCTAAAGATTTCTAGGTTATTTAAGTTAGATGATCAATTTTGAATTCATTTGAAAGGTCAACATTTTTTTTTTTTTTAAGACTTTGATCAAATCACCAGAAATCCTACCATATCAATTACTTCTAGGCACTTCATGTATAATGATGATCGGCACAAACTTTGGTCTCTCTTCTAAACTTCATCTCTATCTCCACCATTCTGAACTTTTTCACTTGGCTGTTGCACAGGTACTTAGAACTTGGTGTCTGACAATAAATTTATCATCTTCTCTTGCCTACTGAAACCTTGTCTTCCTGCCTTCCTCATGTTAGTGATGATACCACAGTCTGGAGTAATCCAAACCAGAGACATGAGAGGTACCTCTAAAAAGATAAAGGTGTCTCTTACTCCACATCTTCTTACAGACCAAGTCCTCTTCCTTTTGACTTCTTTTCTCCCCATACCTATGAGTATCGCCTTCGTTCAAAACCACTCTGGCTTTCTTTTCATCTTCACCCTATATTGTGGATAGGTAGTCCTTGGGGTTCCAATTTTATGTGGGTCTCCTCTTAGACTCCTTGGGTGAGGGCTCTAAGCTTTATCCCTGTCTCCTGTGCCCACACTCCTGTCCAAACAAAGTGTAAGCTTCCTGTGGTTTGGCATAAACTTCAGAAGATGGGTTTAGGGCTCAGTTGCCGTGAATTCCCCTTGAAACTTCATTTCTGGCCTCTGCAGAATCTTTTATTTTCTTGGGGACCTTACAGCACATATTTTGAATGCTAGTCTTACACACAGATGAAGAGATATGCATTCTGTCCTCATTTAGCAAGCGGAATAAACATCTTCCTGATACATTTTTACGCTTGAAATTTGTGTTGCTGCCTATTGTTGAAAAATACAGTTGACCCATGAACAGCAAGGGGTTAGGGGTGCCGACCCTCCATGCAGTCGAAAAATCTGCATATAACTTAGAGTTGGCCCTCTGTATCCAATGTTCCACATCTGCAGATTCAACCAACCCTGGATCATGCAGTCCTGTAGTATGTATTTATTGAAAAAAATTCCTCAAATAAGTGGACCTGTGCAGTTCAAGTGCATGTTGTTCAAGGGTGAACTGTAGTTGAATTTTGGTGTCCTTATTTAAATTTAAGTTGAGGGCTTCCCTGGTGGCGCAGTGGTTGAGATTCTGCCTGCCAATGCAGGGGACACGGGTTCGAGCCCTGGTCTGGGAAGATCCCACATGCCGCGGAGCAACTAGGCCCGTGAGCCACAACTACTGAGCCGGCGCGTCTGGAGCCTGTGCTCCGCAACAAGAGAGGCCGCGATAGTGAGAGGCCCGCGCACCGCGATGAAGAGTGGCCCCCACTTGCCACAACTAGAGAAAGCCCTCGCACAGAAATGAAGACCCAACACAGCAAAAATAAATTAATTAATTAATAAACTCCTACCCCAACATCTTCTTTAAAAAATAAAAAAATAAAAAAAAAATTTAAGTTGAAAAAATTATTCTTGGTTATAAAATTGTGTTAAATTATAAATATTGAGGAAAATAAAGTTGTGCTTTTGTTTTAACCAGTGGTGGTTATAGTGACTAAGTATAAAGATAGGTTTATAATAGATGCTGAATAAATTTTTTTTTCTTTTCTTTTAGTTCCCTTGGCAATGAAGACCCACCAGATTCCTTCAAAAATTCTTTTTAAAAAATTATTAAATAAGATCCGAAACCAAAAGTCTCTCTGGACAATTAAATCCATGTCTGAGGTTGAAAGCGAAATGATTACAACTGTTAGTGAAACTGAAAGTAAAGCCCTGACAGTTGAATCAGGAGCAGCTGTGAGTGAAGACAGAACATTATCCTCTGGGCAGAAACAAGGTAGTTCTCTCCAGTCATCTCATTTTATAACACATAAACCCTTTCGAAGTTGTTCAAAAATATGCTCGTTTCTGAAAAATCGAAGAATAGAGGTCAACAGGAAGAAAATATTCTAAAGCCCATAGTGCTGCCACTTAAAGGCAATGAATGTTAGAAACCTTAGTGAATCTCCTTCCAGAGCACTTTAAGTGTAGTAGAGTTATATATATATATATATATATATATATATATATAATCTTACATATTTCAGTAAGTGGCAGAAAATTACCTTGCTTAATTATCTTGCCATTCTGGTTCTGCTCTTCTATATTGTACATCCAAACCATCATCAAATCCTGTCGGTCCTACCCTCAAAATATATCCAGAGTCCAAGTGTGTCTCACCACCTACTATCCTAGTTTAAGTGATGTTCATTCTTTAGTGTAGATTCTTGCCTGTATTAACTGGTGGCCTCCTAACTGGTCTTCTATCCACAGCTTTTGCACCTTCCTGCAATAATCTGTTTCCAGAGACATCCTGTTAAAACACATCAGCTTATCATTCCTCTGGGAGAAGCCCTCCAACAACTACCCATTTCCCTCAGGAAAACCATTTTGTTTACAGTGGCATCAAAGCTTTACATGATCTGCGCACACACCCCTCCCCACTACTTCTCTCTCTGACTTCATTTTCTCCCCAACCACTGCACCGTAGACACTGGCTTCCTGGCTATTTTTCCAACACAGCAAATACGAATCATATGGTCTTTGCAAGTGCTGGTCTTGGTTGGGGGAGGGAGGAATGCTCTTGGATATTTTTATGGTTCACTGTCTCACTTCCTTCAGATATTTGCTCAGATACTGCTTTCTCAGTAACGCCTTCTCAAACCACTCTATGTAAAACAACAAACTTCTATGCCTTCCCCCACCCCCATAATCTTCACTCCCTATCACCTCTACTCCATAGCTCTTAACATCTGTTGGACCATAAATTTACTTTCTTGCTTATTTGCTTCTTGTCTTGACACCTACCCCTCTCCACCTTCCTCACCCTCCAGTCCTGGAATATAGGGCTTGATTTTGTTCATTGCTGTATCCCCAGAGCTTAGACTAGTGCCTTATACATAAAAGGTGCTCAGTTAATATTTGTTGAATTAATTGACTAGCCTAAAGCAAAGAGAGGTAAGTTTGGAAGTCAGATATGCGTATGATATTCAAGCACATGGGCATGGAAGAATTCTTTAGGGGAAAGAATTCAGTGAGAAAAGGGTTTATAAGACCATCTGAAGGAACTACATTATTTAGAAGCTGGCTAGAGAAGGGGAAGCAGCAAAGTCAGTAAAAAGGAGTGAGAAGAAAGAGAGTATGGTGTTGGCATTTAACACAAAGGGGCACTTTCATCTTTAATCCATAACCAAGTTATTTTGGAAAAGGCCCTGTGTGAGTAGGCTTTCTCTAGCCTCATCTGGCTTCATTCTTCCCCTTGTCTGAGCCAAGTTTTTCACTCCTCACAGGGTCTTAATACCTGCTGATCTGTCTGGAAAGGTCTCATGTACATCCCCACAGTCTTAACCTGCTTGATTCCTCCTTACCTTTCAAATGTCCACTTAAATGCCATTTCCTAAGAGAAATCTCATCCGAGTTCCTAGTCTAATTCAGATTCCTCTGAAATACTCTATTGTATAACCCCCATTTTTTCTTATATAGTACTTAGCACCGTTTCTAATTTTATAATTTTTTTCTAGGATAATTATATAATGTTCTGTCCCCCACCTACCTCCTTTGAGGCCTTTTCTTGTTGACCATGGTAAATGTGCATACAGCACATAAGTAGGTGCTGAATGAATGAGGTGACTGAATGCTCCGTTCAGTTTCTGGCTACCCTGATGTGATCAAAATATACTGCTTTAACTTCCTTCTCTGCTCTGGATTCATAAATAATAAAAATCCTAATACCTAAGTATGTCAAAGATACACTTAAATTTCTTCTCTTTTTACACGTTGGTACCTTGCTTACTCTGCTCTTTTTATGCTTTCCCATTGTGTTTGAAACTCTGTCAGCCTACCTTTTAAGTCAGTTCTTTGATTTTTCTTTTTTGTTTATAATTTTAGTCTTAGGTCTTTTTGTATTCGGCTAGAATTTATTGGATAAAATATGCGGTCTCTGGAAGGTGGCTGGATGTGAACTAAATAGGACATTCAGGTGGACCAATGTTAATCTGAATGTAGATTTTTGTTACATTTGTCAGATTTGACAGTTAATATGTTCATAATGATGTATCTGTTACAGATGTTGAAAGTGACACGCTAACAGTTGACTCTGGACCACTTACTAGTGAAGATAAACCACTTTCATTCAATACAGACTCTGAAAAGGAACAAGGTATTTCTTTTATCATATTCTCAAATTAAACTTGCTTGATTCTTCATATCTTTTTCCTAATAAAATTACATGTAATGAACAAAAGACATTACAGTGGTATCAAATTCTAAATTATTGAAACTAATTATTGCTTTGGGGATTCTCTTAGAAATGAAAGAGACTCAGCCTATCACAGCAGTAGCTCAGAGTTCAGTTCTACTTCATCCTCAGGAAGAAGCAGCCAGAATTAGAATGGCAGCAAGGCAGAAACAGGTAATTTGACATTTTTATTTTATTTTATTTTTAATTTTTAAATTTATTTTGGCTGCACTCGGTCTTCGTTGCAGCACATGGGCTTCTCTAGTTGTGGCGAGCAGGTCCTAGAGTGCTCAGGCTCAGTAGTTGCAGTGTTCAGGCTTTGTTGAGGTAAGTGGGATCTTAGTTCCCTAACCAGGGATCGAACTCAGGCCCCCTGCATTGGGAGTGTGGAGTCTTAACTACTGGACCACCAGGGAAGTCCGAGACTGTCTTTTTTAAAAAGTCAATTTATCCTACATAGTTTCTTGTACAATGCTTTATACATAGTAAGTACTCAATAAATATTTGTTGAATAAATGAGTCCCTGTCATAGTATTAAACATTGATCTGGGCTTTGTAATCCCAAAAGTTTTTTTGAAAAACTGTATTTCAAAGAAAAATTTAAAATTCAGCTTCCGTAACTGTAATATTTGTCCCTTCTACTTTAATGAAAGATTTTCTTAACACAGATTACCTCAAAAGAGGCTAATTGTTACTAAGCCAGTCAGTTTATAGTCATAGTTTTTATAAAAATGCAGCTGAGGGATGACAATTCTATGAGCCAGTATTTTATCTCAGATAAATGCTTTCTAATCAATATTCTAAAGCACTGTTGTCCAATAGATTTTCTACAGTAATGGAAATGTTCTATATCTATGTTCAGTATGGTAGCTGCTACCTACATGGGCTGTTGAATACTTGAAGTATGAGTAGTGCAACTGAGAAACTGAATTTTAAATTTTATTTGTTTTGGGTTGATGTAAATTTTAATAGTCACATGTAGCTAGTGACTACTATATTGATAGTGCAGTTCTAGAGTTACTACAAAACTGTAAATGGTTTAAATTCTGTGGCTCCTATGAGTGAAGGAAAGGAAGGTGAAGATAGGAACTAAGCTATAGCCAGTATTGCCTGGTTAAGAATAGGTAATATCATATTGAGACATTTTTAATTTTGAAAACAAGATCATTCTTCATTATCTCTAGTAGATGTATTCCTCTTAATAAAACTTCACATACATTCCCTTTTCTATTTATTCAGTATATGTTTCTTATATATGTTTCAAGGACTACTAGGTGTTGGATTTAACAGGCAACCAGACAGACTAGTCCCTGTCCTCAGGAATCTTACAGTTACTTTAACACATGTTTTTAGTTCTTGGATTTATGTGTGTATGTGTTGGTATAATTTTGAGTTTATTTGTCATCACTTTGCCATTATTTTCCATCTCTTTAATGCCTGACAGTAAGGACTGAATGTTGCTCACTGTACTTTTATTTAGCTTGTAGATAACTGCACCCTTTTATGAGTATGCCTAAGAAGTCAAAGTGTTGTGAGCGTTCTTGATATTTAATTTCTTAGGCATTATTCTTACTGAGAACAAGGTAAAATTAAAAATGTAAACACAGAATTTGCTGCTTCTCTGGTGCTTCAGTGGTGACCAAGGTTTCCCTGTGCTCCCAGGAAATAGAAATAGTTAATATGTTTATTTTTACTTCTCTCCCTTTTCCTCCTTTCCCCTTTTCCTGTCTCTTGCTTCCGTCCTCCCTCTGGCAGTGGCAATAACAGAAAAAACATCATCACTTTCTTCTTGGATAATTGGTACTCTTGGTGATGAGACCTGTTTCTTTTCATTGTAATGCATATAAACTTTTCTTTGGCATGAGTTTGTTGTTAATAAATCAATAGTATTTTTGTTATTTAGATAATGGAAATAGAAGAACAGAAGCAAAAACAGTTGGAATTACTTGAACAAATTGAACAACAGAAATTAAGGTTAGAAACTGATTGCTTCAGAACTCAGCTGGAAGAAGAAAAAAGAAAAAAAACTCAACAGACTGGGGTACGATGCAGGAAATCTAATCCCTACATAGATTGTTGGGGGATAAAGAAGTATGGGCAATCTTAGCATTCAGAAAAGTAAAGTGCATTTCTAAGTTGTATTTGATAATATTTTAGAAAAATAATGTGTATGTAAAAATAACTTTATACAAACCTAATGACTTTCATCTTTCAGTTTCTAGAGGGTGCTAATATATGTGGCCATGACTTGTATGTAATGTGTATGTTGAGCTCTTGGGCTTGACACTAAAGGAGAGTGGTAGATTACTTCATTTCTTAACAATGGAAATGCCAGTCTTTTTTATGAAAAATAAAGCTATATGGAAGTTTACAATTATAGAACATCAGTTTATGTAAAGTACTTTAGTACTTATTTCTGGATTTGCCTTTTAGTTAGTATCTTTGTCTTTTATTAGGTTGGCACTGCACCAGCATCATGCACCATAAGTTCTGATGAAGATAATCACAGGCAGATGATTTATAACTATCAACAACAGCTATTACAGCAAAACAGGTATTAGCTAGGGTACAATTTATATGTGATAGTGTGTGGCTACATTTTCAGGATTTATTATTTGGTTTATGTGAAGGTCTTACCAGGATTCCCTTGAGAACTATGGCAGGTAGATTTCTCAAAGAGCAATGTTAATAACATTGTTCCATTTCTGCCTTGATTATGGCCACCCCTAGATTGAATTTAATGTATAAACACTTAAGAATGTGGGGCATTTTTTTTAATCAAAAAAAATAATGCTTGTTTGTTTTGGGTAGGCTTCACAAACAGTCTTTTGAAACAGCCAGGAAACGATTACTCGACTATCAGACTATGTTGAAAGGAAAGTACCCATCCATGTCAGCTGCACCATTGATACCTGGTTCTGTTACATCAGTACCACCACAGAAATCTGAAAGACCTACTGTTATATCAGAACATGAGGATCAAGGTCAGAGACCCAAGTTGAGTCCTAACAAACAACCTATGCAACCCGTACAGATCTCCAAATTAGAGCAAGATTTTCAGGTTCCAAGACAACATCGCTTTCCACAAAGACAGGTAGAAACAACCAAAACATTAGTTACTTCAGATGTTTTAGCCGAGCAAGCTTTGGAATCACAGGAACAGCCAAAGCAACTCTCACAGACTGAAACACAACAGAGAGACTATAAATTGGTCCCTAAAGACTCTCATACACTTTCAAGGGCTTTGTCACATGATAAGCCACTGATAGTACAGGATGCTAGAGAAAGAGCTGAAACATCTGGGGCAACAACTTTTCAAACTTTAGACTCCCGGCAAATGTTCTCAGAGAACGATGAAAGTATATCATCTAAGTTAACTGAACCTTCTTCATTCCTACCATTGGTAGCTGAGCATTCTTTTAGTTCTCTGCCTACTAAAGTTGAGTCTGGAAAAATCCAGGAACGCTTTTCAACTGGGAGCAAAAGTATAGTTTCTGTAAGCCATTCTGTAGTTGGCCAAACGCAGGACAAGTCTTTGCCATTCTCAGAGAATATCATAGCCCAGCAAAGTAATTTGAAGGCTCTCCAAAAACGGTTAGACCTACAGAAAGAAGTTCTTCGGTTAAGACAGGAAGCTCAGGAACAATTGCTTTTGTGCAAACAGAAAGAATTGGAAGGGCAAACTAGCCTTTCTGTATTCCTTCCATTGGTACCTCTGGATTCGTTTGCTTCACTGCCTTCTGACAAAGCTGAGTCAGGGAGAATCCAGGAATCTTCTCCAACCAAGAAAGAGACTACAGTTTCCTCAGGCCATCCTGGGGTCCCACAACTTCAGGATAGGCTTAATTTTAAATTTCTCCAAGAACAGTTAAATATTCAGAGGGACAGCTCTCAGGCTAGACGGGAAGCCCAGGAAGTATTATGTGTACATAAACAGAGTGAATTGGATGGAAGAGTATGGGCTGAACAGACTGAGCCCCCTTCTGTCCCATCTCAAGGAGCTCAGCATACATTTACTTCACTGCCTTCTGCTGGTACTCAATCTGGAAAAATCCAGGACCAGTATTCATCTAAGAGTGAGAAGGAAATTCTCTCAATCCAATCTGAAATCCCAAAATCTCAGGATGGGTCTTCAAGTTTCCTACAGCAGTTCCAACCTTTGCATGATAGTTTGAAGTTACTCCAAGAACAGCTGACTACACAGAGGGATGCTCTTCAGGCCAGGCATGAAGCCCAGGCAGAATTACTTTTACGTAGACAAAGGGATTTGGAAGACTCTAAGTCTGTGCAGATGAGTTCTTCATTCCTGCCAGTGGTCACTCAACGTTCAGTTGCTTCACAAGCTTCTTCTAAAACTGAGCCTAGAAGAATTCAGAACTTTTATTTCTCTGAGAAGGAGAGTGTTACTCCCTCAAGTCATTTGGTAATGCCAGCATTTCAGGATGAGCCTCTTAGTTTTCCCCAGCATAACCTGCCACAGCAGGAAAATCTAACAACACTCGAAGGTCAGTCGCACATTCAGAGGGTAATACTTGGTGCTAAACAAGAAACTCAGGAATTTGTACACAAACAAAGTGAATTACAAAAAAAAATTCCTTCTGAACAGACTGGCACCTCTTTATCTCTGTCTCAGGGAGCTGAATCTGAAAAATTCCAGGACTATATGTCATTCAGGAGTGACAGTACAGTTCCCTTAAGCCATTGGAAGATCCCAAGATTTCAAGAAAGACTTCTGGGGTTTTCTCGACATATACAACCTCTACAAGATAATTTGGAAGGACACCAAGAATGGTTAGACACAGAAGAGGAGGCCCTTCAGTTTAGCCAGAAGACCCAAGGGAATGTATCTTCTGAACAAACTGGCCCCTCGTTCACACCCCAGTTAGCACAGCTTTCTTTTCCTTCATTGCCTTCTGTTGAATCTCTTACAACCCGGGAACCTCTTTCAGCAGAGAGTGAGAGTAGAATTCCTTCAAGCCATTTTCAGATCCCAGAATTGCAGGATAGACTTTTGAAGATATCACAGCTTATCCAGCCTCAACAAGATAATTTGAAGGCACTTCAACAACAGTTAGCTACACAGAGGGAAGCCATCATTCAGTCTAGACAGGAAGCTCATCAAGAATTACTTCTGCATAAACAGAGTGAGTGGAAGGGAAGAATATCTCCCGAGCAGGCTGGCACCTCTTCTTTCCTGCCCCTAGTTGTACAGCGTCCTTTTACTCCATTACCTCTTAGTGAAGCTGGTAGAATCCAAGAACCTTGTTCAGCTAAGGGTGATAATATAGTCTCCCCACGTCGTTCTGAGATACCAGGGTTGCCTGATAGGCTTTTGGGTTTACCACAGCCTGTTTTACCTCAACAAGATTATCCGATTACATTTCAACAGGAACACGTGTATACACAGACAGGTGCCCTTCCATGTAGTGAGAAAACCCAGAAAGAGTTGGTTTTGCCCAGACAATATAAATTTGAGGAGAAGTCATCTGAGCATTTTATCCAACCTCTCCATGGTGATTTGAAGGCACTTCAAGAGCAGTTAGACATACAGAGGAAAGCCACTCATTCTAGACAGGAAGTCCGAGAAGAATTGCTTTTGCAAAGACTAAGTAAATTGGAGAAAAGGGTCTCACCTGAGCAGACCAGCACCTCTTCATCCTTATCCCACATAGCACTGCCTGTTGCTGACTCTGAAAGAACCCAAAAATCTCTTCCAACCAGAAGTGACAGTACTGTTTCTTCAAGTCATCCTGAGATTCCAAGGTCTCAGGATAGGCTTTTGAGTTTATCCCAGGCTTTTCTGCCTCAGCAAGGTCATGTGTCAGCACAGTTGGGCTTACAGAGAGAAGTGCTGCGTTTTAATGAAAAAGCTCAGGAAGAACTGCTTTTAAACAAGCAAGCAGAGCTGATTGAAGGTGACTCTTCTGAGCAGCCTGTTCCCTCTATGTTTCTACCCAAGGAAAGAGAGCATTCATTTATTCCACTACCTTTTGCTGAAGTAAAATGTAAAAACATTTGTGAATTGTATTCAGCCAAGAATGAACATGCAGCTCCTTCAAGTGCTTCTATGAGCCCAAGACTTCAAGATAGATTTTTGAGTTTTCCACAACCTCTCTTAGCTCAGCAAGATAATTTGGGACTTCAGAAGCAGATGGAGCTACAAAAAGAAGTTCTGCATTATGGCCAAAAAGCCCAAGAAGAATTGCTTGTACAGAGACAAACAGCATTGCAGCAGCACATTCAGAAACATCAGGAGACCTTGAAGGATTTCTTTAAAGACAGTCAGGTATGTATTAGTCTTGAATATCTAAGAATTAAACATTGACAGTAACCCAACTTGGCCAAGCTAAATATTTGTTTCAATCCTAGGTCAAAATAAGTTCTTAGTTATTGAGAATAAGTGGTTTGACCTTAACTGTGCTTTAATTTTCTACCTTAACGTGGAAATTAAAAGGTAAAAATTGATCCACCTTGCATGGCGCTTATGAAGTTAATAGTTATTTGAAGCCCAACTAATTTCAGCCACTGGTTTGATACAACCAAACTCAAACATCATGGAAAATGTAGGTTGCCTTTTGAAGTTTTGTTATAAAGGATTTTGAGCTTACCACAAGATGATTAAATTGTAAAATAACTAGTTAGCAGAATTTCTCTTAGGCAAATGGCAGACTTTGTGCTTTCTGTATAGCACTTTGTGGACATTTGTGTAGAATCAAAATCAGTACCATCTTTTTCCGTAAGTGACAATATTAACATGTTATAAAATTGGTGCGATTTTAGGCTGATGGACCGCCGGACCGGCTGCTTGTGACTGAATTGTTGAGAGGACTCTGATGTGGTCACTCAGATGACTATTCATAGCTACTCTATGTGGGAGACAGTATATTCTCCTATATATGAATGTGTCCATTTTATTTTAAAAGGCCACTTCCTAAATTTATGAGTAAACCTAAACAGAATTCTACAATCCTTTGATGCTCAGGAGAAGCTTGAGTTGCGTTCATGAGAACTTGAGTTCTGGGGATTTACTGGTCATTTTAAGGAAAAGGAATGGGAAAAAAAAGCAGAGAGGGATACTCAAGTATAATCTCTTATTGAAAGGTTCAGTGGAAGCTGTTTGTAAGGTCCGAGGCTGTGACTGGTTGTACTTTTCAATGGAATTATTACCCTTTCAATAGTAGAAGTACTTCTCATTTTTTATCTATAGATAAAATTGTAATAATGTGGTTGATGGAGCTGTTCATGTGGTTGAGGTTCTAACTGAAGAAGGGAGATATAAATCTAATGAGTTCTTCACATGATCTTTCATTTTGTGTCATCCCCACCCTCGTCTGTCTACTTTTTCAGACAAGTAAGCCCACAGTTGAAAATGATTTTGAAACTAAGAAGCTCAGAGAATGCCTTGTTCATCTCCAAGATCTAGCCAAAGACAATCAGGAAAACATTGGTACTGCAGGCAGGAGAAACTGTGATAATAATCAGCTCCTTTCAGAAGATAGTAATGCCCAGCAAAATGGTAAGATAATTGCATTTTATTGTACTGATTATCCTGATGATGATTCTTTATTGTAACCTCCTGCAACTTGCCGGTTGAAGAAGTTTGTTTCTTTAACAAACTTTGTATTGTGCCTAACTTTGTCTTTGACTTGATAGGGGAGCATCAGGACGAAGAACTGGGTGGGAAATCCTCAAAACCACCTGTAGCAAAAGTTAAAGGTGGATTGGACTTGAACCAACATGAACTTAGTGCCATACAAGAGGTAGAATCACCAGCAAGTGGCAGAACTTCTATACTAGGTAAACAGATGGTTTGATAAAATATGATTTTTTAATATTTGCCAGTTTTCTACAGTTTTTTCAGTATGCTAAATATTTTGTTGTTGAGGAAACTTAGACTGTGAGTACTCATGAAGGGGAAAAAATGGTTTGTACAAATGGTATTTAAAATGTGGACTTAGGGCTTCCCTGGTGGCACAGTGGTTGGGAGTCTGCCTGCCGATGTAGGGGACATGGGTTCGTGCCCCAGTCCAGGAGGATCCCACATGCCACAGAGCGGCTGGGCCCGTGAGCCATGGCCGCTGATGGTAACCAAAAAAAAAAAAAAAAAAAAAACGTGGACTTAAAGAAATATGTCATTAGATAACTAGTTTATTTATATATGAGGAAAAGCAATTGATTGTAGACAAAAATTCTTTGCTATCCATTATTCTGACACTTTTGCTTCCCTCTGCTTCCTTTCTAAACCAGTTTCTCTAGGATATAACCCAGTTTTTTCTCTTCTGCCTTGCTGCTCTTTCACTTCAGTACCTTCACTGCTCTTTTCCTGTATCTTTCACAGGATAATCATGGTGCTTAAAACCCTGGCTTTAAGAGCAGTTGTAACACGTATATGTCTTCACTGTACTTCTTCCTAGATTCAATTATCTAGAAAAATTCCTCCCTGCGATCCTTAGTAAATAGCCCTATTTTCAGTTTATAATTATTTCTAGATTTCAGACTCAACCAGATAATTCTCTTGATCAAATCTATCAAAGCAAATTCTTGTTTCTTTTTTTTTTTTTTTCGCGGTACGCGGGCCTCTCACTGCTGTGGCCTCTCCCGTTGCGGAGCACAGGCTCCGGACGCGCAGGCCCAGCGGCCATGGCCCACGGGCCCAGCTGCTCCGCGGCATGTGGGATCCTCCCGGACCGGGGCACGAACCTGCGTCCCCCGCGTTGGCAGGCGGACTCCCAACCACTGCGCCACCAGGGAAGCCCAAAGCAAATTCTTTTTTAAGGGGGAAAATAACTTTGTCAGTAGAAAGGTACTTAGAAATGTAATGTTAATATTAGCTATCTTGGTGTTAAAGCCATAAAATACTGTACCTTTGTTTCGGGCTAAAAGAGTTTAAGAAGGTAGAGATTCAGAATAATTCTTAAGAATCATTCCCCTTTTTACTTTCTTCTTATGTCTTATGGAAATTATAACAAAGTAATGATTCTATTTATTACTAGGCTTCGGAAGCTTTTCTTCATTTTGCACTGTTTGGTAAACGCAATTGTTCAGGAATTGATTGGTGCTTTCCCTAATTCAGAATGAGCACTGGGAAATTCTGACCATTGATTCCTATAATTTAATGAGTTGTGTTTCAGACTGCAAAAATAGCCTATCTAAAAGGGAAAGCTATATATTCCCTCACCTCCACCTCCTTATCCTTCAGCCTTTTTTCAGTGAAAATAACCCAGATGTAAGTCTTGACTGTTTCCTTGTCTGTACCTCTGCGACACCCTACAGAGTACCATTTCTTCTCAGTTCTAGTTGATCAACTCTGGAATCTGTCCATTTGTTTCCATTCCCACTACCACTCTTTTAATTCAGGCTGTCATTTCTTTATCGAAGGGCTGCTACAACTCCCCTTGTCTCCCTGTTTCCAGTCTAGCATTACTCTCATTCATTTTCCCACAGTGTACTCAGAGTAATCTGCCTCTATTGCTCCATGTTTAAACTCTTCAGTCGTTTCCCTTTGACTGGAGGAATAAGTCTAAATGAAGTCTTAAGTCCCTAGCTTCACCCACAAGGCCCTTCATGATCTCACTCCCTCCCTTCAGGGTTGAGGTAAGTGCCACTTGTGTGGCATAAACTTTCCATGAGCTATCAGGCATCCCTCTCAAGTGCTCTTTGGGAGCTTTCATCATAGCCTTCATCACACTTCTTTGGGTAATACTTTTAGTCAAAATATTATAGGCAAATAGTGCTAAAAGGTTACAACATGAAACAGCATTTCTTCCTGCCCCTACACACCCCCCACCCCTTGATGCTACTCACCAGACACAGTCACTTTTCAAGTCTCCTAGGTGTTTCTTCTTGTATTTACTTCTGTAGTTGGCAATGGATTTTAGCAAAAATTAAGCCAAATATTAAACACCGCTAAAATAATTTGAGATCACATCATTTTCTCTGTTTGTGAGAACATCTTTTAGTGTGATATTGGATGATACATTCTTAACAAGGTTATTATTGTCCCCAAAGGGGATGAAAATTGGTTCTCAGGGAGATGAAAAAGTCTTACTCTTTATGTACCAAAGCACAAATGTACATAAAAAGATACACAGTATATATATAGTTATTAAGTTTCATGGAGTTAGGAGGCAATTAGGAAAAAAGTCTTGAAAGGGCTCCTTAGGTGGGTGATGATAAAGTTAATATTGAGAAACACTGAGCTATAATATTCTTCCAATTTTATTCTCTGTATTCTACTTTTCTTTTTTTTTGGCTTCGCCAGGTCTTAATCTTTTTTTTTAGTTGTGGCATGCGGACTTCTTAGTTGCAGCATGTGAACTCTTAGTTGTGGCATGCGTGCAGGATCTAGTTCCCCAATCAGGGATCTAACCCAGACCCCCTGCGTTGGGAGCACGGAGTCCTACCCACTGGACCACTAGGGAAGTCCCTGTAGTCTTATTTCTTCCCTGTAGTCTTATTTCTTTTGGCTTTACTTTCTGGGATAATTTTCTCAGCTTTTTCTTCTAACATTTCTTAGGAATTTTTATTTTGGCTCTCAAAGTATAGTTTCTAAAAGCTTGCCCTCCTTTCTGATTTTTTTCTTTTTGTAGAATCCTGCAAAATTCTTGTTTCTTGTTTCATGGATGCAAAATACTACCTACTTTGAATATTTATAGGTTTTTGTTTGTTTGGGTTCCTGTATTTTCTCTGTTTGTCTGGGTTCTTCCTTTTTTTTTCTGTCTGAAATTTTAGAGGCTTTTCTCTAATATCTTGCATATTTGAGTGGAACACTGAATGGCTAATTGGAAATTCTATAGGTGGGGACCTTATTTACTTCTGGATTTCATTGGAAAATGTGGCTTTTCCTTGAGGACCCTCAGCTTAGTATCCGTGGTTCTTTTTCCTGAGCAATTTACAGTTTAGTTTCTTCAAAGAAAGATCCTCCAAGTTTGATATAAGCCTGGCTGTTGCTCTTATGGAGCCAGACCTGGGGGGATCTGAGTTGAGGGTGCAAACTTTCTTTTAATACCTCTGATTTCCTTATGGCATTCTTTTTCTTCCTTCCACCCTTGCCCCTTTCAGTGCCTGATCCCCCTAAATTCAGAGTGTATTGGATTCATGTAGTTGTGGCCAAGTGGTTAAGACAGTAGACTAGAAATCCATTGGGGTTTCCCCACACAGGTTCAAATCCTGTCAACTACTGCACCTTTCCCCTTAGAAGGGTAATCCTTTGACACTTTACCAGTTTGAGAGTCTGCTATAAGTTTGATTGCAGAGTGTATAGGATTCAGTTTATCTAGAGGATAAACCTTTAGTCTTCTCTGAGGATGATGTTGAGAGAGAGGAATCTCAGGTGATGGGAGGGATCTTTTCCATGTACATGTTTTTAAACATTCTCCCTGTTTTCAGTTCCCTGATTCACACCTTCCTTTTGTAATACCTCTTGCCTTTAATTCCCAAGTTTTTCTCAGGTTCTGCACAGTAAATTAGCTTCTACTTCTGAATGTCTCCCACTCCTTTGTTTGTTTGTTTCATGAGTGTTTATTTCAGTCATAAGTGTTTATTTCAGTGATTATTACTTTGATAATCACCCTCAGGTAAACACCATCCAGGTCAGGAACTGGAATGTTAGAGAACTCCATAAACTCTTCCCTTGCGCTCTCGCAATTCCTCTTCCTCTGCTTCTCCCCGGGGGAAACCCCCATCTTGATCTCTGATACCACAGATTAGCTGTAGCTGTTTTTGAACTTTATATTATGAATGCATATTATTCCTTATAAAACTTAATGGTTAATAATTTTTCTAGGTATTTTTCCTGTGATTAGTCAGTACTGAAGCATTTTCTATTATTAGGAAGTAGGAGTTTCATTGAAAACTTAGTAAAATTGAAGTGAAATAATTAAAGGCTGTGTGAAAGTCAAGCAGTTACTATTTTCTTGCTACACTGATTAAGTCTTTAAGAGTTTAGATTTTTACCCATAATCTAAATTGCCATTTTAGTTTTAACTAGAAACGTAAGTGGAAATCAAGTGAGTCAATTTTTTTTCCCTCCCAGGTAGACCAGACTTTTATCAAGACAGAGACCCACTGAGGGTCTCAGTCAGCCGAGAACAGAGTTTTCTTGGGAGCCCCCTGGACTGTGATCCATTTGGTCATCTTCACCCAGTTGCCCAGGAGAGCATCTGTGGTGATGACTCTGATAAAGCAGGTGAGAGAGAAAGAAGTTGAAACTGGAATTGCTGTGCATAAGAATATGTGGACAAAAGATAGTTATTGTAGTGTTATTTGTAATGAAAAATGGTAAATAACTTCAGTGAAACTGCAGTTTTGTGAAGGTGCTAAATGAGGGGAGAAAAGTCTGTGTTCATGCATTTGAAAACTGTCTGGAATAAGAATCACCAAAGTTTAGGTATGGGTAAATCTTTGTCGGAGGTTGGGTTTCACACTTCTATTTACATGCTGTGAAATTTTTTTTCCGTAAGAAACCTATATTATTTCTGTACACAAAAAGTTGAATGAGGGAAGTGAAGTTTATTTAGAGAATAATTAATTACACTTTAAAATTGTTTCACTAAATAAGTAAATGTTAGTAGGAGGTATGTAAGGGTATGAGGTTTTTACAGTTGGCAGACTACACATTTTGTGTTTAAGCCTATTTGTAACAATCCACATTTAATTAAATACTACTGAGTATTATCTGTTAAAAATTCTGTCTGTGGCATTCTAAATGAGCTGTTTTATGTTTAGTTTTAAATATTTGGAAAGTATTAAGGAACAAGTTACAAGGAAAAAACTTTAAATCACTTAATTCTGCCACCCAGAGACAACTGATGTTAATTTTCTCGCTTTTGAATTTGTGCATATTTATAACAAGCTATTTTATATGTATAATATTGACCCTGCAAAGCATAGTTCCAGTACTGCTTCATTAGTTCTAAAGCACCTTTTAAGTAGTTGCCTTTTCTAACCAGATTTCTTTTTATTTTAGCTGTCACATATACTTGGATAATTGTTATCTTAGTTGTATCTAGAGTTTAATACAATGACAGATGAGAAAGACCTATTTTCTTTTTGAGGGTTTATAGAAAAATTGACTTTAGCTTCTCCTTTTTTAATTGGAGATTGAAATAACTACAAAATACAATTTCCAATGAATTGTAGTTTTTGACATTTTAAAATAAAAACCATTACCATTTTTTTAGATTTAGCCAGTGAATACTTGCATTCCTTTTTTTTTTTTTTTTTTTTTTT